CAAAATAAGTAAAATAAGAATTAATTTCTTGATTGATTTTGTGAGGATTGTTGAAGAGAACTACTAGTATTTAGCTATTCTCCATATATTTTGTTATTAATAAAATTAGCAATATGTTTTAAACATAAATTGTTCACAATTCAACAAATTTAACTAATTAAGCAGATTTATTAATAATTTCACCAATATAATCAAATTCAGCCTACTCAGCTAATTTCAGCCTCAACAAACACCTCTTGATATTTTTACTACATTGTTTCAATATATTTTTAGGGAAATTTAGAGCATATTTAGTAATACCAAAATCAGTTTATTCTACTGAAATTTATGAAATTATGACTGAATTGGTTGATTATTTATGAAAAAGTTATATTGAAATATATTTTATTAATAAAAAAGAATTATAAGTAGAAATAATTAAAATAATCCTTTACAATAACTTCAGTTAATGCATCTAAAAAAAGTAACTTTGATTTTACTTTTTTTATATTACACAAAATAACACGCAAAAATAAAAGTTACTTACTCCCTCTGTCCCATAAAACTTGGTCAATGTTGAGTTGCACGTAGATTAATAAAGTAAAAACTGTGTGATTGATATTTGTGCAGAGGAGAGAGAAATAACTTTAAGCACATATTTGTTACTTTAAATGGAAATGACAAAGTTTTTTGGGACATCCAAAAAAGAAAAGTTGAACAAGTTTTATGGGACGTAGTATTTGGTAAGAGAATGTGAAGTGAAATCCATTTGTCGGAATGACATTAGAAATTAAAAGTTACACGGTAGAAATTTGAAGATAAAAAGTTTATCCATTTGTGCGTCTTCTTCCTTACGTACTTATCCGCTTATGCATCACGGACGGACTATCAAAATTGCAGACAATGATTGTGCCTTAGACTGTTACTTGACGGTCCGATCCGGTCAATTTACGAATCTATGGCCAGCGTGATTAATATCCAACTGTAAAGCGAATAATATTAAAACCGAGTTAAAGAAAAGATCTTTCGAGCCAAACAAAACAAAAATCGACAACTCCTCAGCTAAGTCACCTTTCTTGGTATCTTCTCCATTTCTCACCCCCAACTGGACCAACAGTGAGAAGAATGCCTTCAAGACAGCCTCTGTCTGCAGACCCAAGAACACTCAGATTGACAGTTATCTTCATTGCAATCACAACCTTGTCATCCCTCATCATCCTCTTCGCAGTTTTCTACTTTGGGTATCATTTATGGTACTTTTTAGTGCACCGTTCAAGAACCAGCCCATTTGATTCCAACGCGCCCCTGGTGAAGCTCCACAGGTTTTCCTACAGAGAGCTGAAGTCAGCCACTCGAGGGTTCAGTGAGTCTAACGCCATAGGGAAAGGAGGGTCTGGGGCTGTGTTTAGAGGAAGCCTCAGAGATGGGAAGTCGGTGGCTGTAAAGCTCTTGCACTGTGATTCTCTCCAGAGCGAGAGGGAGTTCCAGAATGAGCTCCAGGTTCATGGAGGGATCAAATCTCCACTCATAGTTACTCTGCTCGGCTACTGCGTGGAGAAAAGCAAGAGACTTGTGGTGTATGAGTATATGCCTAACAGAAGCTTGCAAGAATCTTTGTTCTCTGAGACGAATCTGGTGGGGTTGGATTGGGAGAGGAGGTTTGATATCATTCTAGATGTTGCAAAGGCGCTGTCTTTTTTGCATCTTGAGTGTGACCCACCTGTGGTCCATGGGGATGTCAAGCCCAGCAATGTGTTGCTGGATTCCGAGTTCAAGCCGAAGCTTTCGGATTTCGGGTTATCAAGATTCAAGGCTGAAGAAGGGTGGGAGGAGTTTGGTGGGGTTGACGTGTTCAGTCAGGATATAGGGAGGAGCCAAGACCTTTCCGGGAATTTTGGGACACCAGGGACTACTACTGCTGGGACTCTCATTCCTCCTCCTCCTCCTCCAAGGGTGGAGGGCAAGGAGGTAGATTTTGCAATGGCCTTGCAAGCTTCTTCTTCCTCTTCCAAAAAAAGTGCTAAAATTTCTCAAAATGCCAGAGCTCTAGGATTGGTGAATTCTATGAACTATAATGCCGTGTTTGAAGCAGATGATAGGATTAGGAATGCAAAGGGGAAAGAGGTTGAGAGAGGCAGCGGTGAGAATGGGAACAATTATGACGATGAGCTACTAAGCAGCTGCAGCATTGATCATAGTAAAGAGTTGGATTTAAGTATTCCTGTGGGGGGCGAGGATAATATGGCAGGTAAAGCACTATGGGGTAGAGATTGGTGGTGGAGACAGGATGGGAGTGGCGAATTGTGCAGCAAAGATTATGTGATGGAGTGGATTGGTAGCCAGGTTTGCCCGTCAGCCAATTCTGCAGCTTGGGATAAGAGGAAGTGCATCAATGAGAAACCGCCAAGTGTAGAGAACTTAACGTGTTCTAGCAAGATTGATGAAGTGAAAGAGAGGAGTATGCCCGGGAGTCTTCAAAAGGAGTTCGAGTTGGAAAGATCAAAGAAACCAAGGAAGATGAAGGAGTGGTGGAAAGAGGAGCACCTTGATGAACTATGCAAAAAGAAGAGTGACAAGGGAAATAAAAGGCTTAATAAATTGAAGTGCATGAGCAACCTTATCCCACATTTTGGTCCGGGAAAATGCTTTACATTCATAAAAAGAAGTAGAAGCAGACATGTCGTGGTGCATAAACAAAATGCTGGTGGTGATCTGGAGGGAGAGTTCAGTTTCAGGAGAGGATGGAAGAACAAGGCAAAGAATTCCCAGTCTGTTGGTGGTGGTAGTGATGTGTGGAGTGGAGATATTTTCAGCAGGGAACTAAGCAGCAATACAAGCATGAGAGGGACATTGTGCTATGTTGCACCGGAATACGGTGGCTGTGGGGGTTACCTAATGGAGAAGGCCGACATATATAGTCTGGGAGTACTCATTCTTGTGATTGTCTCAGGCAGGCGGCCTCTCCACGTTCTCAACTCGCCAATGGAGCTTGAGAAAGCTAACTTAATAAGCTGGTGCAGACACTTGGCTCATTCAGGGAACATATTACAACTTGTGGATGAAAGACTAGGAGATGAGGGGTATAATAAGGATGAGGCAAGATTGTGTATCAATTTGGCCTTAGCCTGCTTGCAGAGAATGCCAGAAGTACGACCTGATATTGGCGACATTGTTAAAATTCTAAGTGGGGAAATGAGCCTAGAATCTCTTCCTTTCGAGTTTTCGCCATCTCCACCATCTAAATTGCGCAGCAGATCAAGAAGAAGACCAAAGATGAATTCTGAATTGGATTCCAAATAACATTAGTGTAGTCTGGGAAATTCCCATCCATGTCAGGCTTGTTTAACATTCTAAGAGTGTTTTTTCTTTCTGTACATAACGCCATTTTTGAAGTAAACGTGTTCTTGTTAACTCGAGGAGTTATTGTTTTTACCAGCAGTCTTGATCAAAGAGTCGAATTCCACGTTTACCGTTCCAATTGATATCGTTCCAACAGCTCCTAATCAATTGGTGAAAGAAGCTAAAGGCTCCAGTGTACAAAAAGGCTAGGACACTGGACACCCCGTTCCGAACCAAAACCGGACCGGGATTGGCTTTTAAACCGGGACAGGCAATTCTAAGAGCAGTAGAAGGGCCGACAATAACCCATTCCAATTAAGATTCCTTTGATTTTGGGACCGGAACTAACCAATTAGGAGGTGGACCAAATAGTACAGATAGCATCTATGAAGTAGGAAGTGACTATGAAAGCTGAGTATAAAACTTTTGTATTTATTGATTACTTGTATGATTTAGCTTAGGCAGTAAAGCACATGCAAAAAGATGAGGATAAGATTGATGCTTTTCTACATTTCAATCACTTTCTCAAAGTAATTAGGTTTGTTGTAGTTTGAACTGGCCAGGCACTAGTTTAGGGATCCATGTAGGGATGACAATTGTGATAGATCTAAATTGAGAACTAAGATTGCCCAACATAAAGCTTAATGTTACGAAACTTTAATGGATGTGGAATTGTGGATACAATAAATTTAGAGATTTTGTTTGTTTGTTTACTTTTAATCATGTTTATTAGGTGATAGAAAAATTGGATAACTGATCTCTAATATTTTATGACACACCTTTGTCATACCGTTAATTTTTGGAATGCAAAAATACTTATAGTTACCATACCGAAATTCCGGCATACCTTGTTTCGATATACCGAAATTTCGGTAACGTAGCAATACGGTATCGATAAATTATCATGATTTAATATAATAAATTATTCTATGCCAAATGAAATATTGAAAACCAGTGTAAGTAGTGATATACTAAAATCATTAATACAATTAATTATAAAATACTAATGGTAACCTATTGATGTTCTATTTGATTTTGAACAAAAATAATTATAAATATGTTTAGATATTTCAACACATGATATATGAACATAACAACACATTCTCCTAAAACAATTTAAGCAACACAGATATAAATAAAATAACATTGATCTCTAACAAAAAGGGTAAATAATTCAAGAAGCGTGGATATACATTATACAATCATTTATCCTTGAATTAATGTTGTATTTCTAGTCATTTTTATAATTTAAAAATAAATCATTTACTTGGACTTATATGACGGTATACCGGTATAGCGTATATTTGATAGTTGATACCATACCGTACCAAAAGTGTCAATATACCAAACATTTCGGTAAATTCGGTATCTTTTGATACGGCAAGTGCGGTATACGGTATACCGAAATTTCGGTATTCTTCCCCACCCAGCCACCCCTAGACCCGATGAATACATTCCAAAAAATACAAGTACATACTATCCTCCGTATCTCATTAATTGCAACATTGGAATATATACACTATTCATGTACTTTACTTTGACTACATTTTATTTATTAATGTATGCGAATTATTTTTTTTGAAAAATGTTGTTAAATTCGTTTCATTACTAAGTTTTATAATCTAATTTTTATTTTATTTTTACTAATACAGAATTAAATATAATGACGGTCAAAGTTGTGCTTTGGCAAACGTGAAATGTTGACTGTTGCAATTAAAAAGAGACGGAGGAAGTATAAATGATTCCCAATATGCATCTAGATAACCTTAGTCAATCACTCACATTCCCATTCCCCAAGATAAGAACATACAATTCAATGTTACTTCTACAATGTTAAAACTGCAATTCGCCCGGTATATGGTAAGTAGCTAAAAACTACACTCCCTCAGTTACATATAAATTCGATAAAATAGTGGAATAGCAAAAACTTTGAATCAGTACATACTCAAACTAGGCTGAACACAATGAAACCCAGCACAACCCGAAGCAGAACCGCAGCTGGAACAGAATGGGCCAGTGGGGAGGCGGCAGAGTTGGTTTTGGAGTGGTTCGCAGGGACAGTGGATGTAGCAGGCGGAGGGGCAACGGGGTGGACAAGAACCGAAACTTTCATGCCATTAAAGCACTGACCAAGCCCACAAATGAAGTAATACCTCTTAGGCTTATCAAGTAGAATGAAGTCTTTTCCACTGCTCCAGTTCCCCACCGCGCCTTCGGTGGTGCAGTTGTCGTACCCGCTCTGATTCACTTCAAACACATTGTGCTGCATCTTTGTGTACCTGAAGGCTGCCAAAACCAATACAATTTGTTAAGGACTGTTTGAAAAACGATACATGCTTGGGTAGAAAACAGGGAAGAAAATATAAGTCAAATTTGAGCAAAACAAAAAGTTGTTCAGAATCATTAAATTGTTCTATATTAGTTGGATTTCATTTTTGTTTATTTCATTTTTGTTTATTTGTTTACATCATATACATATATATATATACATATATAAATAATGATCAAGTTGGGCACTATGGTTGTTGTAGGTGACAAGATTTCAAGTGGATGAAATAAACACACATCTAATATCCCTGTATTACTTATTTACTTGCCCACTAAAGGTTCTCTTCTTCTATAAATGAAATCAGCAGATTTCTTTTTCCTTGCTTTCTTTGATGAAAAAACTAAGTTAATGTATGTATTTAATTTTGAAATATATAATTTAATGTCCTAATCTTGAAAATTATATTTTTTTTATGACTACTACCTAGGGATGGCAATTGTGGCCGATCTTATGGATACCCGCACTAAACTCCCCTGTCAAAATGGGAAAACTGCATTACCGGGCAACGGGTACGGGGTGGGAAATAACCGTTTTGTTATTACGGGGAACAGGGCGGTTATGGTTTTATACATGTCTGCCCCGTACCCGCCCCGTTTATTTTTAGTTATATTTTTATTACATTTTGTCTATTATTGGTCTCACAACTACTAAAAGATGAGATTTTTCTCTTTTCATTGTGTATATATAGATAACAGATGTACTAACTATAGTGTATGAATGAAAGTTCATAATAGATTTTAATAGTCTTGTTTGGTTATTATCAAATTTTTTTGTGATTAATTATTTTTCAGATTAAGTATTTTTAGGTTGTCTTCTTTTTAATCTTGTAGATATACGAATCTTTAAAGTGGCGTCTGAAGTCTAGAGTCGTCTAGGCGATGTCATTTTTCGCCTTTTAAAATATTATTTTTATATTAAAATATTAATGACTCATTTAATAAAGTGGTTACCCGCTGTTACCTGCGGTTATACGCGTTACCCGTTGAGGCGGTTATTGTTTGAGTAAAAATTACCTGTTGGGTAATAGGGCAATTACGAGACGGGAAAATTACCCAACAGGGCGGATACAGTTATATGTAAAACCGTCCCGATCCCCCATTGCCATCCCTTCTAGTACTACCTTCGTAACATTCATATCCTCTCACCTTGAAAGTGGGTGAGATTATGAATATTGAAAGAGAATATAAATTATTGAGGGTATGATGGAGCAAGTATTTCTCCAGTTATAGACTTATAGTAGTTTCTTATGCTTCGTATTACCTCTATCCTGAATCCTGATTTAAATTTCTCATTGAAAAATGACACCGTTATTTAAACAACAATTACTCTTTATATAAGTTAATTCGAGTATATTTTCAGAAGGAATTTTAGTGGACATATAAAATAATGAGATCATTGATAATAACTATCTTGTTATAGGTATATTGTTTTTAGTATTTGATGATTACTTTGTCATTAAGAGTGCTATTTATTTCCTAAGAAGAAATGAGAAGTTTTAGGTTGTATGTCTAAAAAAAGGCCAGCGAGAGAGTATTTTTTATGACTTTCATTTTTATTTGTTCCCTTCCAGTTTCCGCTAGAAGTCCTAGAACTACCATGTGTCTAAATATAGCCTTATGAAGTTACAGGCAGAAGGAATGGAAAAAAATAGACTCTAAATAGGAGCAAAAACGCAGGGTCGTCTCCAGGAATTTTGGTGCCCCAGAAAAAAAATAACTAATGATATCAAATTGTACTTCAAATTAATAACATAATTAAATATGAAATAATTAGAAAATTATAACATCATTTTTACTAAATGTAAAAAGAAATACCTGATTTAAAATTGATGTAAAGTATGTGAAAATATAAATTCTTCAAAGAAATAAAATTATAAAAGTACTACCTAATAACATATTCTTCTTGCTTTTTGATGTGCAAATTTGTAAGTAGATCACCACAATCAAGAGTAGAAAACACTTTTTTCACCATTTGCAAGCACCGAGTTTAGTGTTTGTCACTAAAACTCCGTTTTTTTATCAACAAGGTAATCATCATGATTAGTAATTCTTATTGGGCCAGTTTATTCTATATATATAGGAAAATTCTCAGGTCCGAACTAATTCGGACCTGAGGCGCTGTCCGAACACCGCCGTTTGGGGCGGTTCCCTGTGGAATTTTTCGATGAAATTTTTATGGTATGTTATGCATCAAGTCTAGTTTATTCACAAAAAATGTAGCTCAAAACTCGTTCCGGAAGGCCGTCAAATAATTTTTGGATGTTGACTGCGTTTTTCTATGTATAATTTTGCACAGTTAATTTCCAAAAGTTATTTGACGGCCTTCCCGGTCGGATTTTGAGCTGAAATTTTTTGTGGATAAACTAGATTTGATGAAGAACATACCATAAAAATTTCATCAAAAATATCCACCGGGAACCACCTCGAAAGGCGTTGTTCGGACGGCGTTCGGACCAAAACCTGTTGGACAGAAGAATGATGCCTCCATGGGCGGAGCTAGGGGTGGGCCAACCTAGGCCATGACCCACACCAAATTTTAAAACGGCTTAATTTTTAAGGTAAAAAATTTCGTGTAAATTTTTTTCTAAAAATACTCTTTGTACAGGCCTAATCCGGCCCAGTGTCCTGGCTCCACCCCTGGATGCCCCCATTGGGAGTGCTGCCCTAGGCCACTGCCTAGGTGCCTACCCCCTATGGCCGGCCCGCAAAAACGTTTTGAAATTCCAAAATAGGAGTATCATATTTTTTATTCCCTAAATAGGAGTAATCTGCCATGTTTGGATAAAACTGTCATGTTTTAAAGCCTAGTAATGCCAAAATTGGCAGAAATTTACTCCTATTCAAGGAATAAAAAACATGATAATCTTATTTTGGAATTTCAAAACTTTTTTACTCCTATTTAGGGAATTCCACCAAAAAATTAGATTTTTACTGCAATACAACTAAATAATTTTAATTGATAAAAATATGATCACTTTTTTTTTTAAAACAAATAACTTAATTATTATTATTAATGAAGATGACAAGAAACATTACAATCATAAAACTCAAGGCTACAATGGGATTAGACATAGAAACAGACGATTCTAATCGAAAACGCCGAATCGCTAATCCCGCAAAGAAGTAGACTCTACCTGCAGACTGACTGCTCCTGCTACGATCACAATAATTATCAAAAGAACTCTTAAACATCCCGGTTTCTCAAGCCACCGGTAAGGAGCCAACTGTAGAATTTGTTCCGGTTTCACCAGCCACCGAAAAGAAAGCAATACAAATGATCTCATCTTCTTGAAACGGAGGTGCTTCAGGAGGGGGGCGATCCATCTCAATATCGGCGCAAAAGAAAATCATGTTTTTGATTGATGAAGAGATCAATGCAAATCTCTTCTCAGCACACAAGAACGCCCGACCGAAAGTGGCGGGAATATGAAACTGGCAGACGATACGTCGCTACCGAAAATAATACCTCCAAACAACGTTTCGAAAGAAACAGATGAATAAAACTGAAAAGAAGAGAAGACGTTTTGCTATTATTGAAATCAAAAAAGATTGAAAGAAGAGAAGAAAAGAAGATGTGGTGACTAGGGTTTCTCACGACAGAGTCACATTAGTTGCTAGTACTTGTTCTCAAATATGACCACTCTTAAAAACCCTAAAAAAGACTAGTATGACACTATTTATGCATATGGCCAACGTTATTGCTAGCCCCGTTATCGCTAGCCCCTAAAAATCTCAGGGACATTAAAAAAATCGTCTATAGGTGGTTAGTGGTGGTCTCTTCCAGCGGTCGGGAACTCGGGCGTCAACATGATTGTTGACCGAGTAGTAATGTGGTAAAAAAAGTTCAATTTTGACACTTTCAAAATATTAATGACTATTTTTTACTACGTGTTACATTTAATATTAAACTGGATCAAGATCTTCCCGAAATAAGACTCATAATAAGCTATAAATATTTAGAAAGATCTACGGGTGTTTTCCCTAAATAGTAATTTTATTTTTTAGGGGTAGAATTTGACAAATTAAATGGGGTAGTTCATTTCCTGTTGAACTAAAAAACAAATTACCGGAGGATCGAATAAGCTCTTGTATAATACTCCGTAGTATATTAGATGGAATTAAACTCGACTGAAAGGATATTAGAATATTTCAGAAAAAATAGATCTGGCTCATCGGAATGTAACAAATATGCGATGTGGATAGTTAACGGAATCATTCTTTTTCTGCCTTTGAGTAAGTGTTAGAGTTTTGAGGGAGCGATGCTTACAGATAAAGTCATTGACGTAGAAGGTTTGGTTGTTGGCCCAGACAGTGTAGTTGATGCCGGCGTTCCATCCTTTGTTGGCGCCGACGATGTGATCTGTGGCTGAGACGGCGGCGATTTGGAGGAGGAAGACGAGAAGCACAGTGAAGGAGGTGGCCATGATGAGTGGTGTGGACAATTGGGACGCAACATGTCAGTTGCTTTGTTGTCCAAATAGGGGTAACTTTTTTCTTTGCTTCTCTGTCCAATGATTTTTAAAGTCATACCTATTTTCAATGAGATACTGTACATCCATTTGTCTAAGAAAATCACAAGAATGGTTTTCGTATCCATCCTTATATTCATTTCATAACCATCATGTTTGTGCAATTTTTTTGTTTACAAATCTCGTTCACAGACAAAATATCTTTGTGCAAATTTTGCACAAACAAAATAAGATATATTTTGTCTGTGAATCGGATTCACGAACAAAAAAAACTCACTTTTATTACGTGGGTAACAAGAATGATTGAAAAAATTACTACCTTCGTCCCTATATAAAAGTATCCATTCATTTTACACACATCTTAAGAAAGTGAATTTGGTTGGTACTGTTTGACACTGTTTGGACACCGTTTGACACTGTTTGACACTGTTTTGTTTGCCAAAAAAGGAAAGGGAACTTTTATTTAGGGACGGCCCGAAAAGGAAACAGATGCTTTTATTTAGGGACGGAGAGAGTATTATCTATATCAATATTTTGATTTTTGTACAAAGCAAATAGCGACTTTTAATTTATTAATTTCTTTAAAAATAAAATTCTGAATAACATTAGTAAATTTATTTTAGTAAAATTTAAATTTTTCATCTTTAGACTACTGCGTACGTAGTATAATTTTGGGTTTTTTACATGAATATTACTAAACCAAAGCTAATTTCCAAAAAATGACCACATTTACATTTGGACAAAAATGTGACAAAGATGATTATATATTTAAAAAAATACAAAGTGACAATCAAATATTCATGTCACTATCTATTTCCATGTCATTGTTGGGCGTCACTGCCATTACTGCTTGTGTCAATGTCATCGCCGCATGTGTCACTGCCGCCGCCACCGACCATAGTGACACCTCTGCAATGACATCTCTGTGGTGACCTCTCGTCACAATGACATATTCAAAGTGACATCTCCAACGCCGGTCACCGCCAGAAGTTGACGCCATCGGTAGCCGCCGCCTGTCTCCACCGACCACAGTGACATCTCCGCCACCACCCACGATTTTACCGTGACACTTTTATCGGAATTTACTTCGGCCACCGCAACCTCACCAATCTTTCTCCCCAGCCCCCCCAACTCCCCTCCCAAGCCCATATATGTTGCTGTTTCAAGGGTAACCAATCGTGCATGTCTCAAAATCCTCATTCAAAACGAAGATGATTTTCCAAAGGATGAGACGATGAATGTTGTCTACAAAGAAGTGTTCCATAATGTCTAATCTTTCATGTTGTATGATAATCACATTACATCGCACAACAAACTTACATATTACCCTTTTGGTTCTTAATTGTCTAATGTATCATGTTTAACTTTATAACCACTTAAAAATTCATGTCCAATGATTTTTTTTATCCATCAAAGATTTCACCCACCGTGCAGTATGACTTAAAAATCAACAACCCGTTATGTTTCCCATTCCCCGTGTTCGGACTTTGCTGCAACTGGTAGCTACTAGGACACCTCCCTCTTCTACCAAATCTACCAATGAGATGCCAGTGAAGGAGATGACCAGCGCCAACTTCATATCAGCCAACGCACACTGCCGATGTCTTCGTCGTCGCAGCCGATGTCTTCATCGCAGCGAACTCCTGTTATCTCCTCCAGATCCGTACTCTGCTTCTTCACCTTACCCCGACCAAGATCGGTAAGATGAACAAATATCTATAACGGTGGCTACAACGATATGGGGCTAGGGTTTGGTGATGACCGTCAGATATGTGACCACCAACGATTTGTCCTGCGGCTAGAGTTGGGAGTGACGATTGGGGGATGGGGCTGAATGCTGGTGCTGTTGACCGATGGTGGTGGCTTCGCAGGGCATGTTGGGCGACGACTGAACTGGTCGCTGGTGGTGTTGACCGGCGGTGATGGTGTTGATGGACGGAGAGGTATGGTGGCTGGATGTCATGGCTCGGCTTTTTTCAGTAGGAGACCAACGTGGCTGAGCGATCGACCTTGACTTTTATTGATAGTCATTGCATAATTGTCCATGGCTAAAAATGATTTTCTGAAATATACTCCGCTGCCTAACTGCGCAGTTATCTTCAAAAATTCATTTGACTGCCTTCCTGATTGAATTCTTAGCTGAAATTTGGTATGAGTAAATTAAACTTAATGAAGAAGATGCTCAAAAAATTTCATCAAAAAATTCCACCAGAAACCGTCCCAAATGCCGACGGCCGGACAGAGCCTCCTATAAAAGGGCTTATTTGCACTTTTTATGAAAGTTCGAGGGCTTATTTGGTAGTTCTCCCAAAAATCAATTCCAAACACCCCCATACTACTCTATACTTTGTGTGATCAAATCCACAAAAATGCTTGTGCTACATGTTTGTACACCGTATAAAAGCAAAAAAAAAAATACCATTCCCCCCTCTACCTTGTTAACAACACCTCTCTTTCCCTCGCTCTACCATTCCTGTTAGGATATTTTCTCAGACACTATTCACTTAAGCTTCTTGCACACTCTTTCTCTTCTTCTCTTCATAGCTCGACATGGGGAAAACAAACGTGCCATGGACAATGGATTATAGTTACGACATGGCCAAGTTTATCACACCCCAAGGAGAGGAGTTCGGGTATGTAGCACCGGCGATAAAAGATGAAGGTGAACGATGTACGAAGGACGTCAACGACAGAGAGGAACGACATATTCCAGACGCCGATCATGAAGGAGGTACATCGAACGTAATGTTTGTGCACACAGGCATTAGACGTTTCCGTTCTTGTAGAGGTAAATAACCTTGTATTTATATAATTTATGATCCATGCATGTGTACTGACGAAATGAAGTAAACGTTTGTATTGTTATTGCTTGTGCACAAGCGTTTATATTATTAATCATTATGTGTTACGAGTATATATATGTGTTCAACCAGACCCGGGTAACAAAAATGTAGATGGTGGTACACCAAAAATTCGTGCAGAAAGGGCATGTTATTTCTGGGAAAAGGTGAAGCACGCGATCACTATAAGAAATACACCAAAAGTATAGGTTTTCCCGTTAGAATTAGGACCTCAACCAAAGACAAACAAGGAAATATCACATGAATGTTAATTGAGTGTGGTCATGCTGGAAATAGAATTTCATAATCAAAGAACTCTATATTGCCTCAACCTTCAATGCAAATTGGTCGCAAAGCACGAATAAAAGTGGTGTATAACTGATAGAGTATATCTAGAGAGAAGTGAGAGCTAGAGAGAGAAGTGCAATAATATGCTTCAATAGAATGATTTCGTAACCCCTATAACTACTCCCAAAGGGAGTATTTATAGAGAAAATTAGGGTTGGGCTCCCAAGCCTTGGGCTTGGGAGGCCCATTTACAACTGGACCGCTACTGGGCCGAATACAAAGCCACTAATGGGCTGTACAAATGAGTAAGTATAAAATCCGATTCTGTGAGGTCTTCGTGGCCGACGAGGGCGTGGCCGACGAGGGCACGGCCGACGAGGGCACGGCCGACGAGGGCACCCGGGTTCCTTGGACTCAGGACCATAATCCGAGTTAGCCCCTTTTCGGCCGACGGGGGCGTCCTGACCGACGAGGGCGCCACTCTGTGCCTTGTGCTTTCTGTTCTTCCGAGTATGTGGGTCCGGGGGCTCAGACCCATATACTCCATCAGGAGTCCCCCACTCTCTAAGCTGAGACGTAGACGAAGTGAAGGAGAGTAGATTCCTGTGCTTTGTTGCCCTTGGCCGTTACCTGTTCCTCGTTGTGGACAGGGAGGCCGTTGTTTACTTGATGTCTTCGTTTTGGGACGATGAGTGTCCTTCTTTCAATGGTGGCCGTTGAAGGCATGTTTTGCTCGGGCGCTGATGGTTGAAGTTTGTATTTGGGCCGATGAGGCCACTGAAGTTATTCCTTGCTTGGAGGACGATGGCGTCCTTTCCTTTGGGTGGCCGATGAGGGTGTTTGTGCGCTCCTTTTGGCCGTCGTTGATTAGCTTTCGTGTTCTTGGCCGAAGGGCCCGTCAAGATTAATTGTTGGCGGAGGACGATGAGTGTCCTTGCCTCTAGTGGCTTGTTGGCCGTTGCTGATGACGTTATGGGCCTTTGGCCGATGAAGTTCCGTTGTGCTGTATGGATGATGTGGCCATGCTTTGTGGTCACCTTGTTTGCATTTTCTTTCGTTTTGTTGAGGCCGGTGTAGTCCCCCAGTCCCCCACTGCTTCAGGCCGAAGAGTGTGAGGGGTGAAGGAGTTGCTTGAGTCCCCGGCCGAAGCGGCCTCTCCGTAGTCCCCCTGAATCCAACTCTCATGGCGATTTTCTGGCCAAGGTAACCCTGTGGGAGAACCCTTGTGCGCAGATCGCTTGTAGAGAGTTATCATCAAGGGTCATGACGAGGAGCCGATGGCTTGTGGGCTCTTGGGTTCTTTGATCTTGTGGCCGTTACGTTCCCGGCCGTTGCCGTCTCCTTATTGTTTGGCAGTTGTGATCTTGGCGGGCAAGTGGGACGTTGTGGGCGCTTGCTGGTACTTGTAAAGCCGGCAAGTGTGTGGGCCGTTGGAGTCTGGTTTGCTAGTGGGCTGTTGATGTGGGTTGGGCCTGGCCCGTTGGTGACGTGGTGGCCTCCCGTTGGTGGCCGTTGATGTGGCCACTGGGAGAGTGCCACGTGTAGTGACCGTTGGGTGGAGGGGTCTATAAATACCCCTTCCCCTCCGACGAGGAATCACATTTGCATTCTGAATTGTCGAAGTGCTGCCCATTTTTCTAGAGAGATAAACTCCCAAGCTTGTTCTTCGTGTTCGTCGTTGTTCAAGGTTAGTGTTCATCACGATCTTCCTCACTTTTCATATTTTGCTTCCTAGATTAGTGATCTAGTGTTAGGTGTTTGAACACCCTTAGATCTTAAGTTAAATCTCCTTAGGCCCGTAGTAGTAGTTATGAAGAGCTTGAACGACGACTACTACC